CCCCATCCACGCAGCAGCTCCCCCCCAACTCCTCAACCCCCGCCCCTCAACCCCTGTCCAACCCACACACACACACCACGCACACTCCTTACCGCAGGCCGTGGGCGCCCGCCAGCCCCTCAACTACCCGCCCCTCAACCCCTGCTCACCCCCGCACCCCCCGCACCCACACCCCTGACCGCAGGCCGTGGGCGCCCCTCAAGGCAACTCCAACTCCTTTGTGGGGGAGCAGTGGTCGCTGCGGGTGCAGCGCATGGTCTTCCAGAACAGCCGCGGGCCCGGCTGCTTCGACTTTGAGCACTACGTGCAGGTGGGTTGGCCGTTTGACCGTTGACCGTTTGACCGTTGACCGTTGACCAATGCAGCTGATCGTTGACCGGCACGGTTGACCTCGAACCGTTGACCTTGGGTGCTTCGGTCACAATTGGGGTGCTGGTCGCACCGTGCCCGAGGCAGCTGGCCTCTTGAGTGGGCTGGCGGGAGAGCCCCGATGCCCCTTCCCCGGTGCCCCCGCCACACACCCACATGCGCAAACACACACACAGTACGCACACGCGCTCCCTGCAGGCCAACCCCGACCTGGCCCCCAAGGCCCACCTGCACCAGCTGCTGTGGGAGCACTGGGTGATGGTGGGGCAGTTCCAGGGCAGGCCGCACAGGTGGGTGCTGGGGCGGGAGCCAAGCGCTGGGCGGGCGCAGCGTTTGTGGGTGGTGGGCGGTGGTGGGCGGGCGCGCCGGCGCTTGGCGGGGCAGCCCCGGGGCAGGCCGCACTGGTGGGTGCTGGGGAATGCTGGTGGGTGCTGGTAGGTGTTGGGTGCTGGGCGGTGGCAGTCACGCTTGGTCAACGCTGGGGGGCGGCGCGGTGCTGGGCGGGCACCAGCCGGCTGGGCGGCAAGCATCGCCCCGCGCTGCGCTGGGCCCGCCTGGGTTCAGGCCTACCGCACCACCACCCTTTGTTCCTCCTCGCTTTCCTCCTCATATCTCCTCGCTTTCCTCCTCATATCTCCTCGCTTTCCTCCTCATATCTCCTCGCTTTCCTCCTCATATCTCCTCACTTTCCTCCTCATATCTCCTCGCTTTCCTCCTCATATCTCCTCGCTTTCCTCCTCATATCTCCTCGCTTTCCTCCTCATATCTCCTCACTTTCCTCCTCATATCTCCTCACTTTCCTCCTCATATCTCCTCGCTTTTCCTCCTCATATCTTTTCGCTTTCCTCCTCATATCTCCTCACTTTCCTCCTCATATCTCCTCGCTTTCCTCCTCATATCTCCTCACTTTCCTCCTCATATCTCCTCACTTTCCTCCTCATATCTCCTCACTTTCCTCCTCATATCTCCTCACTTTCCTCCTCATATCTCCTCGCTTTCCTCATCTGCCCCCTCCTGCCCCCGCAGGTTCTCCTGCCCGCTGCAGATCGGAAACAGCTACCGGGCGGCGTACGTGCGCGCGCGCGGCCGCCGCTGCTTCGACCACAACTATTATGCCGCCAACAACCTGGACGTGCGGCTGGCGGGCATCACGGAAGGTGGGCGGGCCTGGCGGTGGTGGTGGTGGTGGTGGTGGCCTGTGTGCTGGTGGCATGTGTGTGTGTGTGGTGGTGGTTGATTCAAGCCAGTGTGTTGGGGGGGAAGGGCAGGGCGTTGGTTTGGAAGGGGCAGGGCATTTGGGGTTGGTCTTTGGAGGGCACCTGCAGCGTGGGTTGGGGATGGACGGAGCTTGCCCCCGGCTGCCCTGCCTGCCGCCGCGCAGCCCGCCCGCCCGCCGCTGGGCCGCCCGCGCTCGCACACGCGCGCCCCCAGCCACACGCCCGCACGCCTCACCACTCCGCTGCAGCCCACCAGCCGTTCAGCCACAGCGGCGCACGCAGCTGTGCCGCAGGCGCATGCAGCTGTACCCTCGCCCCTCACCATCACCCCTTGCGGCATCTCCCCCATCCTTGCAGCCTACCAGCTGTTCAACCACTACGCCGACTTTGGTCAGTTTGAGCAGCGGCTGGCCAGGTGTGTGTGTGTGTGTGTGTGTGTGTGTGGTGTGGTGGAGGGTCTTCTTCTTCTCCATCATCCGCAGCCGCCTGCCTGCTCGTCCCCGCCCGCTCCCCGCCCGCCCCACGCCTGCCTGCCAGCCCGCCCGCCCGTCGCCCCACGCACCCCCGCCCACCAGCATCACCACTCGCCCTGAACACACACACACACACTGCCTCTCTCTCTCTATATATTTCTCTCTCTGCCCTCGCACGCGCGCGCACACACACACACACACACACACACACACACACACACACACACACACACACTCACACACACACACACA